CCCATTCCTCCCCTTTGGGATGTGTACTCTGTGATATTGTATGTTGGAAATATATAATTATTTTTTTTTATTTTATAGGGGGGGGTCATAGTTTAAGAGGTTAGTCTGAGAAGATACTTTGGGCCTTTGAACAGCATTGGTACTCTTAAAGACTATGGAGACAAAGCTGACTAAATGCATTTTATGGTTAGTCATCAGGAGATGACCATGAGTCTGGGGGGCAGAAGGTTGTGGTTTGAATGAGAAACATCTTCCATATGCTCAGCATTTGAACACTTGGTTTCCAGTTGCTGGGGCTATTTGGGAAGATCATGGATCCTTTAGTAGGTGGAATCTTGATGGAGGAAGTACACCTGGGAGGTGGGGGTGAACTTGAGGTTTCATGGCCTTGCCCAATGATGATATCCTGTATTAGTTACTTTTCTATTGCTGTGATAGAACACAATGACCAAGGCAACTTATAAAAGAACAAGTTTAATTGGGCTTGGTGTTCCAGAGGATTGGTGTCCACGATGGCCCAGTGAAGGCATGGCAGCAGGAACAGCTGAGCGCTCACATCTTGAGTGAGCATGAGTCAGGGAACACGGTGGGAATGGCATGTGTCTTTTGAAACCTCAGGGCCCACCCTCAGTCACATATCTCCTCTAAATAGGCCGCACCGCCTACCCCTTCCCAAACAGTTCCACCAACTGTTTGAATCGAGAATTCAAGCACGAGCAAATAGCAGCCATTCTCATCCAAACTACCATATATCCTCTCCGCAGTTTTAAGCCAAATAACCCTCTTTCCTGTGTTGCCTTTTCTCAGGGTATTTTGTCACACCAACAGAAAATTAAATACTATATTCTTTAATTCTAGTTTTTCTTCTGGCTGTTTGATTCCATAGCTATGATCTCATATGGAGTGGCTAGCTATAATTCTAGAAGAGGTTAATCCTCTGTAGCCAAATTATTATACCTTTTGTTTGAGGATAATAACTTGATCTGTCATTTTATTTTGGTATTTCACCAGATTCTAGCTTGGGGGATTAAATGAACAACCACATTATAGAAGAATTGGAAAACAATACAGTATCTCTTCAAATTCCATTCCAGAAGATTCTTTACCCATGTACCAATTATTATTTATGACAAGGATAAAAACAAGAGACCAGTCCTGTGAGAAGTCAGGATCCCATAGGTTAAAATATTATTTCATTTTTCAGAGAGTGAATGGAGACTCTACTAGGAAGCATTGTGTAATACTGTCTGCTATGGGATGCTATTCCTGGGAGTCTACTCATCCCATATAGGGGACTGACTAACTGACCAAGGTAAGACACCATTAAAGTCCAGCTTTGTGGACCAGTGAGTGTTATTGGGTTGTTTATAGACGTCTGGATGAGGGGTACTTACAGAAGTGACTCAAAGCCAGCTCCCACCAAAGCCTACCCCAGCACGGGTGACAGCTCATGAAAGCTGGGAACCTGGAGCTCACTGCTCAGCCTGCAGGGAGCCCGACAGGTCGGGGATTGTCTTTCAGTATGTTTTCAGACCAAAACAACCGTCTTCAGGTGTTCGGAGCCTCTTCCAGTTGGCTTGGCTCATCGGGGCCTCTTCTAGGCAGCTCAGCTTGTCTGAGAATCACCCTGTACTCTTGTGCATTTGCAGGCCTCTCTAAATAAATTCATTTTGAGGGTTGAAAAACTTTATCATAATTGTACCATTTACCACATACTTTACTGTGACATACAGGACAGACACACTGATAACATGCACATCCAATTATGGCTGATAAGATGGATCACTGGGTAAAGGCATTTGTTGCCAACCTTGGTGACTTGAATTCAACTCCCAGGACCCTCATGGCAGGAGAGAACCAAATCCTGCAAGCTGCCTTCTGACCTTCATATTCATGTGTGTGTCCTACATACTAAGTACATAGATAATTAAAACCCAAGTCATAGATACAGGCTAGCCACTGCACCTGCACACAAAATGACACATCAGCAAGTCCATGGGGTGAACAATGTTGAACATTCTAAGAAGAAACTCAAAGGACACACAAGTTGACTCCATTCAATAGGAGTGCATGATCAGTAGAATCAAGACAGAAAATTTGTACCTTGACAACACAGAGCTTAACCTAAGTATTGAGAACGGTTGAGTTAAGGTAAAGAGTTCAAAGTAGAGCTGGTTATTTGCACTTAGGTTAAAGAAGTGAACTGGTTAGTAAGAAACAACCAGGCAGAAATCTAGAAATGGGGCTGACTTATATGACAGGAAAGAGGATTGACGGGATTTTAAGGTCAGGGTCTGGAGGTCAAACATAGGCCAGGCACGAGTCACAGGGAATAAAAGAACACAGGTTGTGTTGTGGGTTCTACCAGAGGTCAGCGTTTACCCTGAAGGCTAGCTCTTGGAGGCAAAAAAGAGCCAGCTCTACCACAATGACTCAAGTTGTGCCTCTTTTCCCTGGGTGTCCCCAAGGGAAGAAAGCTTCCCTTCCTGTGGAGACGCAACTGGTCTCAGCCTGCAGTTGAACCCATCTAACGGTTGGTCAGGCCAAACCGACCCGGAAGGGATAGTTACAAACGCAAAGTGCCCGCAAATCCGGTGTGAGAGGAAGGGGGCTCCCCATTCTGGAGCAAGGGAAGCCTGACTTCTGGTAGGCCCCTCGCATATGAGAGCCTGGTGGGAAGGAGACTGGCAGGGCCGATGTCAGAACCACATGCTCTGCTCCTGCCCCTTCTGAAAAGAAGAAGTGAGTCCAGGCCAGGAGGGGAAGGAAAAGGGAATCTTCACAGTATGCTGGAAATGCAAGAGACCTTGAAGAGGGAAAGGTAGCGCCTTGCCTTTCCAGATTACAGTGGGCTAGCCTCCTCCCTCTTGCTTACAGTCCCACCAAGTGTAGCCTTGGCTAGTGTCTGTCACCTGCAGAAGGGAAGTGGGGTTTTCCACAAGGAGCAGATGGGAACTTCTTAGCTCATACCCTAATGTGCAATGGTGGCCTGGAATTACAGCTCAGATGCCCTTGCATCTCACCAGAGAGCTGCCCCAGCCACCCCCAGCTGCTCCAACAATCACCACGAGCACCAGAGTAGAGGTTATTTTGTACCTCACTGTTGTGGGACTTGTTCTGTACCCGTGAGTGTATTTCTTCCCATTTTATATCTTAATACATCCTTGATACCCTTTAACAAACTCTCATGGATTTGCTTAACACCTCACAGGATGTGTAACACATATTCTTCCTTGCTCGCAGGGCTCACCAGACGGCACCCCTGTGCCCCACATCCTATGTGCAGTTTCGTTGTGGCAGGCTTGGTGGCTTCCCTGTCCTGAGACTGTGGGCTCCTGGGAAATCCTTCTTCTTCTTTTGTTTGTTTGTTTGTTTGTTTGTTTTTGGAGACAGGGTCTCATTATGTAGCTCTTGCCTTGCCTGCCTGGACCTCACAGAGGTCCACCTGCCTCTGCCTTCCAAGTGCTGAGATTGAAAGTGTGTGCCACTGTGCCCAGGTTCCTTGCTAATCTTTGACTCTGGTCTCACACAGTTCCTTGTCATGGTAGAATCCTCCTTGCATGACCATGTCTTTCTCCTTATTCAGTTTACATTCCCTCTTCATCTTGTCCCTACTGAGAGCTAGGAGAGTCCCCAGGGATCTTGCAGGTTCGCATTTGCTCCATGTATCATTATACATGGCCACTAGAGGGCAGGAGACCCCCATCCTTCCTTAGCTCCAAAACAATGTGGATCAACTCTTGCTGAAAGATCATTCCGCGCAAAGGCCAATTTGGCAAATTGTCACCCTGCTAGATCACGAAGGAGTTGTGTGAAGCTTTATTTTCACTTTAAGCACTCCCCCAAAGCTTGCTAGTTCATTCAAGATCCCCGCTCCCCCTCAGTCTTTGGCATCTCTGTTCGGGAGCAGCCTGAGCTCTCTAGACGTTAGCCCCTCCCTCACAGGCACCTGCACACGCTGTCTACAGTTTTCACCTCATCAGTTTAATGAGATGAGTTCTATGCATTGACCTGGTGCCCAGGGGAGGTGGGGGACTGTTCTTAGGGTGAGGGGAGGGGAGTGGGTGGGTGGTTTTCCTCACCAAGGTATATCCTGTATGTCCCCCGTCCCCCAGTCCTCCAAGATGATTATAGCACAATCGCAGTTTACTTTAGATTTCTAACAAGGACACTGTGTCCTGCTCAGTGTGGCTCTTGCTTAGGCAGTATAGACCAGATTGGGTTGCTGGGATTGCGGGGGCACAGTGAGCTCTATGAGCCACTTAAAAACAAGAACATTTCTGTGTTTTGCTAGCTGGGGAAAAGCTTCTACTTATCTACGAGGGAGCACTGAATTCTGGGAGAAAGTAAACGATTTCTTTATGATTTTATCTCCATCTTTGGAGCAGTCCATGCTGAGTGAGGTGGTGGTGAGGATGAGCCAGGAGGAAAACCTGAGGGGATTTACCCCCAAATCAGCTTTGCTCAAAACTTCTGATTTTGATATTTGCAGAGAATAGACCTCTCTAGTTAGCCATCACTGTGATGAACACCATGACCAAAAGCGACTGGAGAAAGAAAAGGTTAGTTGCAGTTTACAAGCTCTAATTCATCAGAGAGAAGGCAGGGTAGGAGCTCAAGGCAGGAACCTGGAAGGAACTAACGTAGAGACCATGAAGGAAGGCTGCTTTCTGCTTCCTTTGGTTTGCTGGGGTACCTTTCTTACAAAGCCCAGGCCCGCCTCCCGAGGGATGGCACAGGCCACCGTGAACTAGGCCCTCTGGTGTCAATTAGCAATTAAGAAACTGCCCCTCAGACATGGCCACGGGCCAGTCTGGTAGGAGCAATCATTTAGTTGAGGTTTCTTCCTCCCAGATGACTCTAGATTTGGGTCACGTTCACATCAGAAGTTCACCATGACAAGACCCAAGCTGGCCTTTCTGTTACATCTTCTGTCTGCAGCTCCCACAGCCTTCTGCCACACGGTGGCCCCCGAGGGCATCTCCAGAAAAGCTGTGCCTGTGTGCTCATACGGCCCCTCCCTACGCTTCCGTGTTCATCCTGTGAAGGGTGTTCTGGGCTCCCTCTTAGACTCTCCTGCTGTAATACATGCTTCTAGAAACTTCTTTCTTCCCAGAAAATCCTGAAATCCTCCTACCAGGGAGACTGGGGTCCTAGTGACCTCCTTGTGTGGCTCCTGGCCCTCTTTAGGATTTACGCCCACTGGCCTGAGGCTAGAGATGGCCACTTCATCCCACAGAGGAGCAGCTGAAGGAAGCCAAGTGGATCGCAGAAGCTGTGAGACATCGATAGGACATGGGGAAGGACCAAGGTATGTTTCGTGTGTGTGTGTGTGTGTGTGTGTGTGTGTGTGTGTGTGCGCGCGCGCGCACACACACACACACACACACACACACTGTTAAACTTTTGGGGGAATGTTTGGCCCATGAAGGCAGCCTACCCTGTGTCAGGTTTAATTTCAAGAGCACTGGGACATTTTTTCCCAACCAAATCCAGACGGGGTGTAGCGTATACTTCCTAAGAAAGTATGTGGGGCAACTTCCTGCCAGAGGTCTGTCAGGGAGGGGTTCATACCCAAGGGGGAAGAAGAGGGCAGACTGGGAGGTTCAAGAGACTGTCAGGGGGCATCTCAGGAGTTGGTCCCCCAGGAGGAGGTCAGCACACGCTACTGGGACAGTGGGTCTCCTGGAGAAGCAAATGCAGAATCTGTGTTCTAAATACTTTCTCTTCTAACACTTCCTAGTCCTTGCACAGAAGATCCAGTTAGACGTGTGTAGAAGGAAGTCCAGTTTAATCCCAACTGGCCCCCACCTGCTAACCCTTTCTCATGTTGACTAACCCGCTGGTTAGGACTACATTTCTTCTCCTGCTGGGCTCTGGGGGCCTCTCTGACCTCCTTTCCCTGTGACCACTTGCCCTTTGGTGTGGGATGAATCCCTGTATCACAGAAGCTCCTCCCAATGGCTGAGCTCATGGTTCCCTCGGGCTGCATCCTGGGAAGACTGAGAGGACTTAGGTACAATCTTAACTGCCAGTACAGGGTGATGGTTGTGTCCTGGTGGAAACATTCTGCTCTCTGTAACCAAGACCTCTGTGCCACCAGAGCGGGAGGTTTTGGGGACTGGAGCAAATGTTTTGCTGACGCTGAGTGGTGCTGTTCTCACTTGACCTGTGGGTTCCTGAACCATGAATCGTGGCTATGGAGAGACACGGCACTGTGTGCTTCCACATTACCAGGCCCATGTATAAAACTGTGGCCACTTGGTGCCGAGCCCAAATTGGTTGATGATTGGGTGACTGGGGGAAGAGGTTGACCGGCACCAACAGAGTGGGCCATCCTATTAACTTGATGGCCAAGATCTTCCTTTGTTGAGGTCAGAAGTTCTCCTGGTTTTCTTCCTTCCCTTCAGAGCCTTCCAGACACTTCTTCCAGACAAGCTTAGCACTGATTCCCCAGCCATGCTGTTTCCAAATCCACAGCACCCAGCCACACTGGTGGCTGGAGCCCACATGTTGGTAATAGTTGCACATCTGACCATTTCTTCTTCTAGTGAAATGAATAAGGTGCACTGCTCAAAGTCCTGCCCATGGAGGGAATAGCCTTCCAACACTGTCCTCAAGAGATGCCAAGCCTGGGACACAGTGCTGGAGCTGTCCTCTGCTGCTGGTGCCGACATGTTGTACAGAATCGTCTGTCAAAGCCCAAGTTTCCCTTTGCTCTGTCCACTGATTGTAGGGGACTCTGCATGAGGTCACAGATTCTGGCCTTGAGAGAGAAGGCGGTGTAGTTGTATTAGGGGTATTGGGGCTACTGCTTCATGAAACCAGACTGTCCTTCTGCTCACATAGATTACACCTCCACAAGGATGGAGTGCTGGTTGTCCATCTACCTGATGGCCTGCTGGAGTCTTGGTGCATTATTTACTAGTATCATCAGTTATCTGAGGCTGGGAAATCCAAGATCAGGGGGTCCATGCCTGGCAAAGGCCTTCATATTATGTTATACTATGATGAAAAAGAGAAGGGTAGGGGGAGTGCTCTGGATATCGCTCTGTATAAATAAAACACTGATTGACCAGTAGCCAGACAGGAAGTACAGGCGGGATTAGCAGAGAGGAGAGAGAAGAGGAGAGGAAGGCAGAGGAGAGGAGACACCAGCTGCCATTCAGGGAGCATTATGTAGAGGCAACAGGTAAAGCCACGGAACATGTGGCAACATATAGATTAACAGAAATGGGCTGAGTATAAGAGTAAGAGCTAGACAATGATAGGCCTGAGCTAATGGCTGAGCAGTTTAAATAATATAAGAGTCTGTGTGTTTATTTTATAAGTGGGCTCTGGGACTGGCGGGACTTGGCGGGAGCTGGAGAGAGATTCTCCAGCTACAGGGGAGTGCATCCGAGGCAGCAGGAGGGGTGCAAATTCACTTACAATGATTTATTTACTTTTGAAAAAATGTGTAGGGGTGCTCTGCCTGAGTGCATGTTCATGCACCTCATAATGCAGTGCCTGCAGAGGCCAAAAGAGGAAATCAGATCCTCTAGAACTGAGTTGCAGATGGTTGTAAGCCACCATATGGGTGCTGGGAACTGAACCCAGGTCCTCTGCAAGAGCAGCAAGTGCTCTTAACCACTGAGCTATCTCTCTCACCCTACTAACACACTTTTATAATGATTCACTCTCCTCATATCCTAACACACTCCCACCAGAATGGCACTGATCTGCTTGTGGGTACAGAGCTCTCATGTCCTATCTTCTCTTCCTAGGTTCATCTCCCAACACTGCTGAATGTTGGATGAAGTGTCCCACTTTGGCGGATACATTCAAATCCTAAAACTCTACCCCCAGACCTCCAGTTTGTGTTTGAGTCACATACAGAGTATACTCATTCCAATAACTCCCCAAGTCTTAACATGCTGGCCCAGCTTTAACTCAAAAATTCAAAGTCCACCAGTGTTACTGAAGGCAGATAAGGATGAAACTCCAGGCAGGGCTTATCCTGAGGCAAATTCTCCTCCAGCTGTGAACCTGGGAAATCGAAACAAATGCTTCCAATGTACATCAGTGAGGTGGCCCAAGGAGAGTTTTCCTACCTCAAAAGAGAGATGTAGGTCAGAGTAGATAATAGACTCAGGTAGTCTAAAACCAACAGGACAGACAACATTAAACCTAAAGGTTCTAGAACAGTCTTTACTCATATGCTGCCTCCAGGCCACACTCTGGGTTTGGCCTCGGAGACTCCAGTAGCCCTATCAACAGCTTCTCTGAGATTAGCCTAGGCAGCAGCTCTCATGGGGAGTCAGATACCTGCAGCCTCACAGCAGAGATGTACCTCACAGCAGAGATGTACACTTACCTCACATCTGAGTCTCCTTTTCCTCCACAGCTGATATTCTAAAGTGAGATATTTGACCATCACTTCTTTTATTTAAGAAAATAATACTTTTTTTTTTAAAAAAAAGTGTTTTGGTATGAAGATGCCAGATCCTCTGGAACTGGAATCACAGATGTATATAAGCTGCCATGCGGGTGCTGGGAATTGAACCCCGGTGCTTTGGAGAAGCAGCCAATGCTCTTAACCACTGAGCTATCTCTCCAGCTCCCTGACCATTGCTTCTTTAGCGTTGATATCTGGAGCCACTCTCAGGGAAAACTTAGCCTCAGACTGAAGGGGGCTCATGGTCATCAGAGAGGAATTGACTCCCGCGGAGCATGTATGTATCTGTGGGTGTGGTGAAGCTGCAGGTGCCAATATATATGCAGTAAAAACACTGCAAACTTAGGTGATTCTTCACTGATTGCCTTTAAACTTTTTTGTTCACGTTTTTCTTCATTTTCGAGATACGTTTGAGAAACATGTTATTGTTAGTGAATAAGAACTCCTCCGTGGAGACAAGTCATGGTGGAATTACATGAAGGAAGCACACGTTTAGCAATGGCCACCTCTGAGAAGCGCTCACGGGGATTTTCCGTTCCTCCTTAACATTTTCAGAGTACACTGAGTCCTCTAGAATAAATATCACACTTTATAATGAGGACCACATGGGCCAGAGATGAGGCTTAGTTTGCAGAGTGCTTGCCTAGGAGGCATGAAGCCCTTGGTTCAATCCCAACCCTAGGCTAGGCTACCCGGTGAGCGAGCTCAGGATCTCTGCCTCTCCCAATCACGTGATTACAAGCACGTGCTTCCATTGAGCGCCGAGGCCTCACACTAGCGAAGCGACCTTACAGCTGAGCTGCCTCCCACCCTAGTAGTTTAAATTCGCAGGGAACAGGAGGACAGTTTTCCTGCTGTCCCTCTCCATTTGCCGAGGGGAGCACTGATGTGCTGCTCTTGTCTCAACAGCACCAGCCGGGACCAGGAGGATAATTTCAAGCGGAGCCAGGGAACATCCACACTGCGGCTCCTGATGTTAGGGAAACACGGCGCAGGCAAAAGCGCCACAGCGAACACCGTCCTGGGTAAGGCCGTGTTCGAGTCCAAGTTCAGCGATCACATGGTCACCACCCGGTGCCAGAGTGAGAGTGTGTCCCTGGAAGGGGAGCAGCGGGTCGTTGTCATCGACACCCCGGATCTTTTCTCCTCCCTGGCCTGTGAGGAGGTCAGGCAGCAAAGCCTGAAGCAGTGCCTGGAGCTGCTGACGGCTGATGGACGCCAAGTGCTGCTCCTGGTCACTCCCATTGGCCACTATACAGAGGAGGACAGGGACACCATTGAGGGCATCGAGGGTTTGTTTGGCCCTAACGCCTACCGTCACATGATCGTGGTCTTCACTCGGGAAGATGAGCTGGGTGAAGACTCGCTGAAGGACTACATCATAAGCAAGAGTTCTCTTAAGGCGTTGCTTGAAAACATTGGAGGTCGATACTGTGCTTTCAACAACAAGGCAGACAAGGAGCAGCGGGAACAGCAGGTGTTCCGGCTCCTCGATATGATTAAGCAGTTGATGGTGGAGAGCCCGGGGCATCTTGTGCCCTTGAATGTGGAAGACAATGGAGTCCAGGTAGGCCTGGTGGGAGGGACATAGTCCTAAGTTAGTGCACTATCTTGTGTTTTACAGACATGCTTTGTTTAGGGAGATGTGTTTATATGCTCTAGGCCAGCGTTTCTCAACCTGTGGGTCACATTTGTGGGTTGAACGGCCCTTTCACAGGGGTCACATTACAACCCATCACACAGTAGCCAAATTACAGTTACGAAGTAGTGATGAAAATAACTTTATGGTCGGGGTCACCACAACATGAGGAGCTGTATTAAAGGATCACAGCACCAGGAAGGTTGAGAGCTGCTCTAGAGTAATAGGTGGAGACATCAAACTGCTGGAGTGTCAGCCTCGGGACTTTGGACTTAACTGGAAAGTTAATGGGAAACAAAATCCTTGTGTCATGAGGCCCCCCCATGTTATTGAACACTCTGGACTCTGCATAGTCTTTCTTCTGACTTCTCAAAAAACCAAGCAACAAAACACCTAGTCTTGTTTTTCCCCATTTCTCTTTCTGGCTGTTCCAAAGACATCTGTGCACCTGTATTGCCCTCTGCCCTGGCACTGCCTTTGCCCCCAACCCTGCACCAGCTCTGCTCCGTGCCTGCACCCACTCAGTGTCAGTTCACTTCCTCTGTCCCCTTGGCCTCTTGACTCTCTCATCCCTGCTTGGATCCTCAACTTCTCCGCCCTCATAATGCCCCTTACATCAGTCACTACCAGCTCAAGGGGTTCCTGTAGATACATTTGCAATAGCTACATCCCTACAAAGCCATGAGGATAGAAAACACCTGTTAATCTGTCATAAAACAGATGTCATACATAAGATGCCTCTGGGATTTGCTGTGGAGATAAATGAGATGCTTAAAAGGTTGTTAATAAATAGATGTTGGGTATTTATTAGCTGTTATTATTGAGATGTATGAGGATTAGAGGAATTATGAATATTAAGGATTTCAGGGGGCTGGGGAGATGCTCAGTGGTTAAGAGCATTTGCTGCAGAGAACCTGAGTTCAGTTCCTAACATCTACACAGGTGCTTACAACCATCTGTAACTCCAGTTCCAGACCTACCACCTCTTCTGACTTCCAGTCATGGTACACATGTGGTTTGCATACATACATGTAGGCAAAACACTTACTCATGTAAAATAAAATGGTAAATAGATCTTTTAAAATATTAGGGATTTCAGCAATCCAAAGGGAAGAATGTATAAAGATTCTTACCCCAGCATCCTTTGAAATAGCAAAACCAAAGACCCGCCACTGAGAGGATGGCTACATCATTTATGTGTGTTCATAGTATAGGGTAGGTTGGACCAACTAAAGGGTGTCAGGTGGCTCCCTCTTTATTAACTTGTGCAGGTGTGACGTTTATGATTCCAAGCAGAGTGCCAAACAGGAAGCTCTGTGAGTCTCTCCTATGTATGTGGATACTTGTGCATGTTTGTGTAAAGACAGAGAAATACAGACGGGTATGTAAGCGCTGACGGCTGTCACTTTTCCTAGGGGTTGGAAGATTATTAATTTTTAGATCATGCATAGCATATTTACAATAAAGCAATGAGAAAGAGATAGATGAGAGATAGGGAGGGAAAGAGGGAGGGAGAGAGAGAGAATATCAAATGCATTAAAGATGTTGGTGAGAACAGGTAAGGAAGCAGAGGCAGGCTCTTGTGGTTGACATGAGCTTTAAGAAATAAGGTTAGAATGGAGCTCAGGAAGTTTCTAAGAATAGCCCAAGACCGAAAAGATTGTTTTCATGTTAATTAATGTGTTTGATTTTCCACACCTGGTGAAATATTATTATCAATTTAGCTTCATGTCAGAGGCTCCATTACCATCCTGGGGAGCAGCAAGGGTACTGGAAATGCCTCCATCTCTGGGAACCTGCTCAACAGCATCAGTGAGTTTGAAAGCTGGACAGGTGCACAGAGGAAATCCAGGACCGTGACCTTACTGTGACCACTTCCTAATCAGCAGATATTCTGTCTCCAATTGTCTCCATTTGCTATTGTGCAGAAAATGATCCTTTTGTCCCTGTGTGTGTCATTTCCCCTTTATTCTCTAGGTTTGTGGGAGTAGAGCTCCATATGAAGGAGGAGACCATCTGTGTGGTAAGTAGATCACTTAAACATTTAGACTCATGTCTACATTCTTTGAATGCACTGCCCAGCCAAACGAAAGTGGAAAACTAATGAATCAGAAACAAAAGGTACACAGAGACCCAGTATACGTGGGTGTCCATACCTTTTCCCAGAGGACGTGTGTGACTCAGCACAGCAGCAGTCCAGGTGCTGGACACTGTGGTGTCCCCAGCCTCCCCCGTTGTTGTGTGGATAGAGCCAGCCTTGCTTCCCCCAACTCTGTTTCTTCTTCCTGATCATGGGTCTAGCATTCCTGACTGGAGACCAGGAAACACTCCCCATGGATGACACTAGCTTCTAGCATCTTTGTACGGACTTCCGTTAGTTGTGTGTCCTATGCAGCAACACAGGTCAGTACACAATAGTAAATAGAATGTCTATTGTGAGGGCACACAAGGCTTATGAAGTCACAGATGCATTTTTGGCTGATTTCTGGGTCAGCCCTATGTAAGAACTGAAAAATCTCACAGTGAATCTCACAGACAACATCCTTTCCTCATGAAGTACTGCAAAAAAAAAAGTCAGTTATGAAGTTTAGTAATAATAATAATTGAAGCTAACATTGTGGGCTAGGAAATAATATACATGTACTTCAGTCCTCAAAGTCTATAAAATTATATGTATAGCATATGTACAGTTTATAATATCTTGGCAGGCATACTAGTGGCCATGGAAGGCATTCTTTTTCATAAGAACCATGGAATGAAGGTGTCTTATCAATGTACTGATTTTACAGGCCTTGGGATTAAAAATTCAGCGAATGCCCATTAGTACAAACCCTCAGGAACATGTATGTGACGGTGACTGATCTGACACAGTGAAGAGCCACATCCCGGGGGCGGGAGAGAACTTTCAGTGGCACATGGCTTGCACTCGGTGGTTCTGAGGACGTCAGGCATGCTTTGGACCGGGTGCTAGTAAGCAATGGGTGCAGCTAGAAACTTTAGAAACTTTAGGATTTTTTTTTTTTAATCCTCAGGATGGTGAGGTCAGAGAGAGGCCACAGCTGTCCTTGCCGTCAATAGAGGGATATTTTGGAACTGTTGACATGCTGCATGTGGTCATGGACTTGGAGAGCTGATACTGCCCTGGGACTGATAGCAGGCCGCTGTCTTCTTTCCCAGCACCTGTTTCTATTCACTGCACTATATGGGCTCTCTGTAGTGAAGGAGCCCTCATTGGAAAGGAAACAACAAATGGAATAATATACTTTTGTTTGCTTTGTTTTCTTGGGGAGGAAGTTTACAAGACAGTGGGTTTTTTTCTGTAAGGGTTTTTCATAGACACTTTGCTGTTGGTTGATCCTCCTTCTACCCCCCCCCCAGTATGCACACCCCTTCCCTCTTAAAGTCCTCTACTCTTATCTACTTCCCGTCTACCTATCTTCTACCACCCCTGCCTCCATAAGGAAACCTGCCCTCATACCCCTCCTCAGTTCCTGTTTCCACAGGAACTCCCCATCAAACAAGCAGGACTACGAAGTTCTCAAAAGAGAACACGAGGCGTCTGTCCAGCCCTGGGTTACACCACTCAGTATAATTATTTTTATCTATTCTCCTGTAAACTTCAGGTTTCTTTGTAGCTGAATAACATTCCATTGTGTATGTGTACCACATTTTCAATGTCAGTTCAATAGCTGAGCGGTAGCTGAGCTTCGCCCATTTCTTAGCTATTGTGAATGGAGCATCAATAATCACAGATGAGCAGAGATCTCTGCAGTGTGGTATAAAGTCTACTGGGTTTATGTCAGGAGTGGACTAGATGGGGCAGAGGGTAGCTTCATTTCTTCCTTCCTTCCTTCCTTCCTTCCTTCCTTCCTTCCTTCCTTCCTTCCTTCCTTCCTTCCTTCCTTTCTTTCTTTCTTTCTTTCTTTCTTTCTTTCTTTCTTTCTTTCTTTCTTTCTTTCTTTCTTTCTGGAATTTCCAGATTGAATTCCAAGGTGTCTATACCACCTTTTACCCCCAAACTGTATATAAGGGTTCATTCCTTTTCCCCCATATCTACACCAGCGTTTGATGTCATTTGTATTCTTGATAGCCATTCTGACTAGGATTACAATCCTCTTTAAGTAAAGGCAAATGCATGGCGCTTGGCTTGTGTGATTGTGGGAGCAGTCTGGGGGAGCTCTTGAGAAGCAGTCCTGTTTGTATGGAAACCCGAATAAGCAGCATGTGTGGACACTAGGTGAGGAGCTCTGTCCTATGTGCAGAGTGTGAGGGCAAGGAGGAAGTGTGTGGGAGTAACATTCAAAGTCTGACTCAAGTTTTCCTCCACCATGAAGCCTCCGTAGCTGCTCTATGCCTGTCAAGTTAGCAGAGACTGCCTAGGTAGAATCTTCTCTCACCCTTTCGACAGCCTGGGGCATTCCACCCTTGTGTGCCCTGAGAGTCAGAAGGGAACAATTTGTCCAAAGGGACATAGCAAGAACTCATTATTTTGTTTTCTAGTTCTATCCAGACATAATTTTATTCTTTTTTATAGCCAAATATATTATATATACATATACACACATATATACATATTAGATTAAGATAATTAAAATGTGGTACATATACATAATGGAATATTATTCAGCTACAAAGAAAACTGAAGTTTACAGATTAAATAAATAAATTATATTAAATTGATAAAATATACACATATATACATCTATGTCACATTTGTGAGTGAATGTTCTCATTTGTATATGTGTACATGCGTATGTGCAGGTAAGTGTGTGAACATGTCTGTGTATTGTGTAAATATGCAAGCCAGAGGACAACATTGTGCATCACATTAGACACCATGCACTTTTTTATTGAGACAAGATCTAGTCCTGGCCTGGCACTCACCCTATCAACAAGACTACCCCGCCGAAGTGCTCTAGGGATCTACCTATCTCTGCCCCCACAGTGCTGGGATTCCAAGCGTGCACCACCATGCTGGGATTTTTAATTTTTTCATGGGTTCTAGACATTGAACTAGAACCCTCATTATTACAAGGCAAGTTGTTTGGCAACTGGGCTGTCTCCCTAGACCCCATATGATGTTTTCTTCATTTAACTGTTGATGGTTTCTAGGCTAATTATTATATTGTAAATAATGCCACAATAAATACAATGGTCAAGCATTTATTTTGTGTGTTAATTAGAAAGTTAGTACAAAAATAATATCTTCTCCTATGGGAGTCTGTTGGAGTCCAGTTCTGACCTGTCAAAGGGTTCTTGGGTGGAGAAGAGAAGAATGAGGAAATGTTAGGTAGAAAGATAGCGACAAGGAGAAAGAGAGAGAGATATGGGATAGCTTTGGGAAGGCCTAGGTCAATACCCAGTCGCCCTTTGGTTTATTCAAAGGGGCTTTTTCCCCCCATGCCAAGGGGAGGGGCAAAAGACATCTTGCAAAATCAAAGCACAATGTATAGCCAAGTGTAGACCCTTCAGAACACCTGGTAACCATGCCCGTGGTCAAACCGTCTCATTCTGCAGCCCTGCTGGGTAAGGCAAGCCCAGATTCTCTGAGCCTAAGTAAGGTCTCCCTAGATAGTTTCTGTGGGCCCCCACACTCTCCTCTGGATAACAGCAGTTCTCACAGCCTCCTCCCATAGATAGCCATGCCCCAGACTCCTATAAACATAGATTAATTTGTTCTGTTCTGAACTTCAGATAATGGAGTCATACAGAATGTCAGTTTTGTGTCTGGCTTCTTCCACTTCGCATGCCTCTGCATTTCATAGATGTTTAAAAGACAATGAGCCAACAACTGAGCATTTTATTGTGTGAGTTTAAGGCTAAGGGGCATTTTATAATCAGACTGTCGCAGCCCTTGCCTTAGTCCATGACCTCATGCTATAATACTTACTTTAGAAGAATGAGGGTCAGTGGAAGCTCAGTTTGGCACAGTAATTCTCCTGGAAGATCTTGGGTTTCCTGTATTCCTTCTCGTTCATTCCTCCTTCCCATGCTTTCTACCTGGATGTCTGGTTCTGCCTGAGATTAGAGTCCTGCTCAATGAGGCTCTTCTAGAACAGATCACGTCTGTATTCAACCACAGGAGGAGACACTGCATCTATTTTTATTTTTCTTGTCTCACAGGTCCAGAGAAGAAACAGCCTCCTATTACAGGACCTGATCAGGATGTAGAGATGCCAGAACTGAGGGTCCTCCTCATGGGGAAGCGTGGTGTTGGGAAAAGTGCAGCAGGAAACAGCATTCTGGGGAAGCGGCCCTTTAAGATTCAACTCAGTGAGCAGGGGGTCACCAAGGACTTTTCATGCCACAGCAGGGTCTGGAATGGGAAGAAAGTTCTGGTCATTGATTCTCCAGAGATCTCATCATGGAGGCCTGATGCAGCTGATATCAAGAAGCACATCTCTCCAGGTCCCCATGCCCTCCTGCTGGTGACACCACTGCACTCTTTGATAAAGAGTGATGACAAAATGTTCAGCCAGGTCAAAAGCATCTTTGGAGAAAAATTCACCAAGTTCACAATTATTCTCTTTACCAGAAAAGAAGATTTGGAGGGTCAGGATCTAGAAGAATTTATAGAGAAAAATAGTCATCTCCACAGTCTCACCGTGAAATTTGAAAACAGATACACGGCTTTCAACTACCGGGTAACCGGGGAGGAGGAGCAGAAGCAGGTGGACGAACTCCTGGGCCAGGTGGAGAGCATGGTGCAGCGCAACAGCAACAGACCCTGTATCCTCCGAGAGAAAGGTACGGCTGAGCGGAGGAAATGGCTGTGCAGCTGGAGCTTGGGATATGAGGCACAACCTAGAGCTATTGCTTTCTGAAGGAAGTGGAGAGGGTGAGAAAAGGTCCAGGCTGGGAGTGTAGCTAGGTGCTTACCCAGAATGCACTAGAGTTGATCCCTAGGAGGTCATCAACTAGCCATGGTGGTCTATGCCTGTAGTCCCAACACTTGGGAAGCAGAGTCAGGAGGACCAGAAGTTCAAGCTCATGGGCTGAATGGTGAGTTCAAGGGCAGTCTGGCTTAAATAAGACCCTGTCTCAAAACCGACTAGCAGGTGCATACTTTTGTCTCTTCTTCAAATTATCCTAAAGTTATGAGGGTTGCTCATAGCTGGTTTTTAATTCCTTCCCGACCCCCATCCCACCTCTCCAGCATGGAGACCTCTCCCAGTCTGGTGCTGCTGGGACTGAGCACTCATCGCAGTGATGACAGTTTCAGGTCACTGGCTTGCTTCTCTGTTCTCTTAGCCCAAAACTCTCTCTGGGTTGTTTATTCTTCACTGCTCTGGAGATGGGGACTCTAAGAAAGTGTAAATAGGGCTTGGGAGATGACTCGCTTGCCTAACAAGCACAAAAACCTGAGTTTGATCCTCAGAACCCTTGTCAAAAAAGCCGGGCACGGTGGTGAAGGCTGCACTCCTGGTACTGGATCAGATGGATCTCTGAGATTTGCTGGCCAGCCGTCCTTACCTACTAATCAAGTTCCAGGCTAGTGAGAGACTCTGTCTCCAAAACCAAGGTAGACTGTGGCTGAGGAATGGCAGCTGTGATGTCCGCTGGCCTCTCCACGCATACCATAATGCATATGTATACCTGCACACACATGTGCATCTAAACACACACCAACACCCTTATATACATGCACTAGGAATGTAAAAGTAGCAAATAGAGCAAGAGGGTTAGGAGCTAAGGCATGACAAGGACAGGGAGCCTGAATGCTTGTGGCATCTGGGTAGCATGTGGCACTAGATGAGGTGATTCCAACTCTTGCCTGTTGAGAAAGGACTGCCCACCCTGTCGGTCCTGCCCGCTCTATTGACCTCATCTGAGATCTTTCCCATTTCCACTCGTCTGTTCTCTTCTGACTCAGATGTTCTTACTCAGGAAGATCAGCACCACAAATGGGTGTCCCTGTTTATTGCCCCTTCACATTCCCCCTGGAGGGCCAGGTTCCGGGAGCCACCTAAATAAGTACAGGGGAATGGGAAGGCCAGGAGGGAGTGTGTGGAGAAACTTGAAACAGGTTTTAGAGAACAGGTAGGGTTTGGATGGCTGGGAAGAAAGGAAAGACACCGCAGAGAGCACACTGGCAGCTTCAAGGGAAGAAATAGGGCCAGGTGGTAGTGGCTCACGCCTTTAATCCCCACACTCAGGAGGCAGAGCCAGGTGGATCTCCATGAGTTCGAGGCCAGCCTGGTCTACAGAGCGAGATCCAGGACAGGCACCCAAACTAGAGAAACCTTGTCTCAAAA